GAGGCCAGTCTCGGCTACATAGTGAGTGCAAGGCCAGGCTGAACTACATATCCAAACAAAAACAAAACAAAACAAACAAATGAACAAACAAAAGAACACACTCTGCCACACCCCTTTCATCCCATCTCCTGCTGATCTTGGACACATGAGAGGCATTTTCCTTTCAACCCTAAACTTCTACTCCTAAACCTAGCCCTTGCTGGTCTGTCTTCATTGAACTCTTTGCTCAGACTTGTCCTCTGTGCTTGTGTCAGATGTGGTTCTATGGCTTGAATCTTGAGAGTTTAGCTCAGCATCTGCCTGAGACCCTGGCTGTCATAACAGCAGCAAATGACCTTCATGGAGCACAAATTCTGTGCTGGGCACTGTGTCAAGCGCCTTATGTAATTAAGTCATTTAATTATCACAAAAGAAGACATAGATTACAAAGATTATTCCATATTACAGCTCAGATAACTAAGGCACACAAAAATTAAGTAATCTGGCCAAGGCTACCACTAGTAAGTGACAGAGCTGGAATACAAATCCAGGCAGCCTCATTTTAGAGCCTACTACACTCTTTCTCTTCCAATTCATATTCATTCATTCTCAGCCTTTCTCTCTCTCTCCTGGGGATTGAAGCTGAAGCCAGGGCCTTTGCACTGACCTACATTCCATACATGTGTACATGTGTAAATATATATATATATATAAAATGTATTTAAAATTTTTTTTTTTAATTTTGAGAGAGTCTCACTAAGTTGCTGGGCTCAAACTTACACTCCTCCTGTCTTAGCCTCCAGGAATGCGGGGATTACAGGAGTGCACCACCACACTCAGCTTCCAGTGTTCTTTTAATGCTTCTTGGGCTGACTGAAGGTCCAGTGTCATGGAGTTGGGGAAGGTACACCCTATTCCTTAGGGTTTTTCAGGGAGCTGACCAGGTGACACTTGGTACCTAGGGAGGAGAAAATATGGCTTTACTTTCTCCAATATCCAGTCTTTGTTTTCTGCAGCTGCAGGGCCTGCGCTAGACAGGTCTTCTCTACTGTAAAAGCATGGAAGCAGGGGAAAGGCTGAAAGAGCCGCTTAGGAAAGTGAGCTGGGAGTCAGAGCTAGGAGCTCCAGGGGCCGATAGATGGCGCTCATGGCCCAACACAGCCTCAATAGCCCAAAGAAACCTACGGAAAACAAGTGAGCAGGTTAACCCCTTCCCCACTAGGCTCAGGCCTGAGATACAGGCTGGTGGGCATCGGGCGACCCCTCCTCAGCCCAGGTGATCCAACTCTCTAGTTCCTTACCCAGGCCTGGATCTGCTTTTGCTCCCAACCCCAAGGCTCTATCCATAAATCACTATGTCCGGCCCCTTGAAGACTTCCCAGAGGGCCATCAGACTAAGTAATGGACAAGGCGTCACCTAAGCCTATGTCTCACCTCTCAGGCTCTAGCTCTTGAAAGCCTCTGTCTGTGTCTCTATTTCTCAGCACCATCTTCCCCGAGCGATGCACAAGGTGGAGAGGAGAAGCACGGGCTAGAGATAGAAAGGGCCTGAAACTCCTGTAGGGTCAGCTGTAGCAAATCACTGTGGGATGCCCAAGCCTCGGTTTCTCTCTTTCTCTGGACTCCCTGTCTCTGAGCTTGCTGAGGTGGACAGGCTTATAGGGACAGAAAGACTTACCTGGTTCTCCCAGGAAGTAAACATTAAAAGAGTAAAGGTCTTGGCAGATTTGCTTGCTTGTCACTCATTTTACTTATTATTGTCCTGCCAGAGGTAGATTTGGCAGTGTGGAGGGGCTGCCAAGATGATAAACTAGAAGTTCTGGGCAAGCAAGTGGCAGAGGGGTTGAGTGAGTAGAAAGATACCTATCAGATGGTTGAGATCCTAGAAAAATATTTTTTTTGAGACAGGATCTTGCATGTACCTGAGGCTGGTCTTGAATTAATGATCCTTCTGCCTCAGCCTCTCAAGTGCTGGGATCACAGGCATATGCCACCATTCCTGGCCAGATAGGAAGATTCTTAAACAATGAGAAAACACCACAGTGAGGTCCCTCCCCCTTGTTTTTGTTTAGAGACATAGGTGCTAAGAGTTATGGAGATAGAGGAGCCTGTTATAGAAGCTAACTCTTATTTCAGTCATACCAGAGAAAGAAGCAAAGACAGATATACGCAGAGGGAGACAGACACAAATATATGGAAAGAAAGCTATAGAAGAGATGAGATAAATTTACTTATGTGGGGAGAGACAAAGACACGGAGAGGGGGAGAATCTGGTACAAATTAAAGCTCAGAAAATAATGGGTTTCATGAGGTGGATGATTCATTCAGTTTCTGAAGTCTTGCAAGGGTGGGAGTGGTTTCTCACCTTGGTGTCAGAGGGGTCACTGCTTACAGCTCCCTGAAGCTCCTGCTGCACCTATTAAGTTTGTCTGTTAATAGAAGACCAGAGGAGGCTTGGGAAAAGCAAAACATCCTTGTTCTCTCTCTTCTTCCTGCTCTTGGGTTCATTAGTCTCCTTCCCTACCACCTACAGGGAGGCTTTGCTTTGGTGATCAGAGTTCTGGCTGTGCTCAGACTGTGTGCAGGAGTGGGAGTGTGAGGAACCCAGAAAATAACTAGCTTAGGGGATTTCCACTCTATTGAAAGTTCTATAGTCAGAACACAGAAAGATCCAGTTAGAGGACAAGAACAAACCCAGGAATTGAATAGTTTTGGCTACTGGTTCTGGGATGGGGGTGGGGGGTGGGCTGTTAGGTGCAGTCATGGAATTAGGATGGGTCAAAGAAGGCTTCTTGTGAAAAGTATTTGAGAGGGAGGATTTGGAAGAGTGGGGGGTGTGATAGTTAATTTTATATGTCCACTTATGTGGGCTAAAAGCCACTCAGATACTGTAGTTGGTTTTTGCTTCTAGGTGTGTCTGTGAGGGTGTTTCTGGAAGAGATTAGCATTTGAATTGGTAGACTGAGTCAAGATCACCCAATCCTTTGAAGGCTCAATAGAACAAAAAAGCATAGGATGGGTCATAATGAGCTAGGACATCTATCTTTATGAGCTAGGACATCTATCTTCTACCCTTGAACTTCATTGGAGATCTGTCTGAGGGCCTTGGTTCTCAGGCCCTCAAGCTCTGGGACTTACATCAGCAAGCTTCCCTGCAACCCTCCTTCAGACTCAGACTGAATTGTACCATGGATTTTGCTCGTTCTCCAGCTTACTGACAGATGGGCAGATCATGGGACTTCTTTGGCCTCTCCATTATTCTGTGGGCCAGTCACATGATAAAGCTCCTCAGAGAGGAAGATAGATATCCAGTTGATTCTGTTTTTCTGGAGAACCCTGACTAATATAGGTTATGGGGCTGGGCAGATAGCAAGGCAGAAGAGGGAGAAAAGTCAAAATGGTGAAGCTGTGAAGGGGCTGGACCCTAATGGGGGTGGTGCTGGCTGCTGAAGAGTCCTTAGGAGATGCCAGAAACTCCTCTGTTGATGTTCTGCATACATTAATGGACCCACGAGGGTTTCAAAGGCATAGTCTCTTATACCTGGGGTAGCCAGATGAGTACAAATGGAATTTAGCCATTGTCAATATCCTCAGGTGGGTGAGTGATTTGGGATGGTTGGAGCTTCGGGATGGTTGGAGCTTCCTGATGGTTGGGAATAAACTTTAGGGTTAGGTCTTCTCACGTCTCAAGACTTCCAGATTTTGTTCTTTTTCAGCCACCTGAGGGCTGTACACTACCACTCCCAGCTAGATTTAGCATTGATTGTATGAACTGGCCCAGGGATTTAGCTCAGCTGTTCTGCCGCCTGCCTCGCGAGTGCAAGATTCCGAGTTCAATCCCTGGTACCAAAAAAAAAAAAAAGAATAAACTACAACTCCCAACGCCTTTTAGGGTTCACCTAGCGCAATTTCCGGAGATTTGGGCATTTCCGGCGGAAGTGGCCGCGGCTACGCCAATCTCTTTCCCAAAATACTGTAGACTACGACTCCCACTGTCCTTCGAGGCGGGCGTGGGGAAAGGAACTGGAAACTGGATGGGGAGCTGGACCAGGTGAGGGAACGGGAGGCTGGGAGTGTGGGGTGCTGGGGCCAGCTGGGGGCTCCCAGGGTCCTCGGGGCAGACCCGAGAGGGTGGTCAGAGAGCCGATGTTTTGGAGCACCCTCCCGGCGTGGAGCTAGTCCCAAGGCTAGGGAGAGCTGAGCCGGGCCGCCTGGGAGGCGTGCGGATCAAAGCCTTCCTGTTGGGCGGAGCCCGCGTGCACAGACTAGTTTTGTGGGATGCTAGGCCTTGGCCCCTCGGGAATCAGAGGGCGGAATAATCTTTTTGAGTCTATGCTCTGTTTTTGTTTTGTTTAAAGATTTGCTTATTGTCCATGTGGGTGTCTGAAGTGCCTCCAAGGGACGGGAGTGGATAGTTTCGTGGGTTCCATATAAACTTCCTCGACTGGATGTCAGAAAAGTCTGTTATCAGTCAAAATTCTAGCTTTGGTCTGCCCCCACTGCCTTTGCACTTAATCTAATCTGACACTGTATTTTCTAAAGCATCTACAATTTTTTTTAAAGCTTCTGGCTCCTGGCGAATTTTAAGCAGAGCTTCCCAGTTCCACTTTTGGGCGCCTGTAGTGTTGTTCAGGATATTAAAGCTCAGGTTTATTGAATTACAGTTGCTTGCTTATCTGTTCTCTCATAGTAGTTTATGACTTATGAAAGCCTGACCTACATTTTTTTTTTCACTTTGAATTTCTTCCCCACAAAGAGACTCCACAAGTGCTTGTCATGTAAAAGACTCACAGATATTGAAAAATAAATAAAACAAGTTAACAGCTGGTGGTTGGTTAATAGCATATGGGATTTTCCTAGAGTGGCGGCTTCAAAGACTTGCCTAAGAGGGCCGGGGATTTAGCTCAGTGGTTTTGCCGCCTGCTGCGCAAGCGCAAAGACCCGAGTTCGATCCCCGGTACCCCAAAAAAAAAGACTTGCTTAAGTTAAGTGACTTGCTGAGCACAGTGGTATAACCTGGTAATCCTAGTTATTTTATTTCAGAGGCTGAGGCAGAAGGGTTACAATTTGGTGAGACCCTGTCTCAAAACACAACACAACAAAACAAACAAACAGCAAACAGAGAACCTTTTTAGAGATGAAACCAGGGTGAGTTCAAGTCAGTTCACCTCCAGCCCATAGTTCTTACTATCAGATCAGGCTTTGGAACACTGGAATACTGAAAATAAGATCTTGTCACTTTTGTGTACTCTATTCTTGCCTTTTCTAGTTCAGGTCTCTAAATGAGAAAAGTAGTAGACCCATCCTAGAGAGCTCCTAGAGTGGAGCAGGGAGAGATGCAAAGGAAGGACCCCTTGAAATGTTTGGGTTCACTGCACCTTAGTTTTTTTTTTGGTACCGGGGATCGAACTCAGGTCCTTGCGCTTGCACAGCAGGTGTCGAAACCACTGAGCTAAATCCCCGGCCTTCTGCACTTTAGTTTTTGTATATGCTTAGTTGGTCCTGGGTGCCCACCTGGACAGATTAAAGACTTCTGCAATTAGAAGGACATCTTTTTTTTTTTTTAGAAGGACTTCTAAAGTTCAACCTTTGTTATTTTTTTCTTTTACTTCCCGTAATCTAGGATCATAGAATAGGCTCCCAAAACTGTTGTGTCAGTCTTTTTTTTTTTTTATTCATTATTGGGGATCAAACCCAGGGGTGTGTTCTATCTCAGGTCTTTTTATTTTATTTTAATTTTAAGTTAAAATTTCCGAGGCTGGTCTTGTGATCTTCTTGCCCCAGCCTCTTAAGAAACTGGGATTATAGGCATATACCCCTGGCATCTGACTGTTTTGTCAGTCTAGGCACAACAACCTCATTTGGGGCAAGCAGTCACTCTTGACCTGGGCTGAGGTTGAGAAGGACAATGGTCCTTGCCATATGGGAGGCCCAGATATGATGGAAACACACCCAGAGTCTGGCAAGTCCTGAAAGCAAACAGCTGAGCCTTGAGTGAATTCAAGTTGTAGAAGTGGGGGGGAGTATAGCTCAGGGTTAGAGCGCTGGCCTAGTATGTTCAAAGCACTGAAACAGAAAGAATGGTTCCTTGGTGGAAAGTAGTTTTAGATAAGATTTACTGATAATGTACGGATGGCTAGAATTGAGCTGGTGTTTGTTGGGTACCTAAGAAAAGCTAGAACATTGGAGTTGTGGATGGAAATTGAGTAGCACTTGGCCCTCTGATCTGCCCTAGTTGGGGAAGGCAAGATGTAAATTTATGATGAAGCCACTAACCATGGTGACATGCAGTGGCTCTCAGCATTCATTAGCCATCATAATCACCATGTTTAAAATACAGCTGTCCAGGCCTCAGCCAGTCGTGTGTGTGTGTGTGTGTGTGTGTGTGTGTGTGTGTGTGTGTGTGTGTTTGGGAATTTATAGTAAATGCTGCAGCATTCTCAGTAGGGAAAGCTTTAACAGAAGAGTGGTTTGAGCTGCATCTTGAAGAAAGGGTATGATTTGGATGTGTAGAGATGTAGGGGAGTCACTGTCCTGGTTGACTGAGCGTCTACTGGGTGATGCCCTCCTTGTCTCAAGAAGTATTTTTGCTTAGATTTGTAGAGAAAGCAGGTGCAAAGTTTTGGGAGTTGAGACAGGATGAGCATTTTGAATGCATCAGGTTGGAACTCTGGGTTTGCTTGGGAAGGCTGAGAAGGGGTGGCCCTTGCAGTGTGTTATAAGGCTTGCAGTCAGGTTCCCTCCTCTTCCTGTCCTCTCCTCTTTTCCTCTTCTCTTCTTTCCTTCCTCCCCTCACCTACGCATAACAAATACTAATTATTCTTAGTATTTGGGTGAGGAAATCCGGGGCTCTGGCCATGATTGCATAGCTTGCAAGAGTTGATTCTGAGTCAGGTAAGCAGAATGATTACTGCTGAGGATTCTTGAATGTGGGAAAGAAGTTGGGCTGGGACTAGGGGGCTGTAGAACTAGTGGGGTGGCTGATCAAATCATCTAAGGCAAGATGGTGTGGGTAGTTAAGAGCATAGCCTTGAGTCAGATAGTGTGGGTTCAAATCCCACTTCATTACTTGCTAACTGCCTGACCCTGGGCCAGTTGCTTGATCATGCTAAGCCTCAGTCTCCTCACTTCTAACACGGGAGCTGTAATGCCCATTTCATGGGGTTGTTATAAAATCAATGAGGTGTACCTGGTGTACAGCAATTGCTCACCACCTGGAAGCTGTTGTAATTAGCCCTCCCAGGTCTCTGGGTTGTGGCTGTGCACCTGCCTCTCATTCGTCAGTACAGTGGTTTCCAGGACACAGCCCATCCTGGTTGGCCTTGCTTTATTGAGGATGATGTGCAGAGAGGATGCCACCAGCAAATGTACACTGAAAACCTACTACGTGCTCAGTATGACCTGGGAACTCACAACTCAGTCCTGTGCCTGATGGAAAGGAGTTTGGAGTAAGGGGTGGCCAGTTAGTTTTGGCTTATTCTCTCTCATCAGGTGCTATGTGAAGAGGAAGGATATTAGAAGTGGGGTGGGGGCCTTTACTACAAGAACCAAATTTGAGCTTAGTACTACTTGGCAGGTGGTGGATGACTAACATGGTCTCCTAAGGTTTCTTCTGAGCCCGGGAAATGGTAGTAGAGGCCCAAGCCAGCATGAATCCCTCCCACTGTGGGCTGAGGGCTGATGGGGCCTCTGTCTTCCTCTTTTCCAGGTGACAGGAGCATGGCTGTGCCTCAAGCTTTTCCAGTGGGCCCCCTTCCTGAGCCTGCAGGTGCCCTGATGGAAGCCCAGCCCTGTGCTCAAAATTTGGCTGAGGGCTTCCTGGAAGAGGAGCTTCGGCTTAATGTGGAGCTGAGCCAACTGCACTTTTCACAGCCTGTGGGCCTCATCTACAATCCTGTGGATTATGCATGGGAGCCACATAGAAGCTATGTGACTCGCTATTGCCAGGGCCCCAAAGAAGTGCTCTTCCTAGGCATGAACCCGGGACCTTTTGGCATGGCCCAGACTGGGGTAAAGGCCCTGGCTTCCCCTGGTGGGTGGAGTGGGAGGCTTCTAGGTGGACGCTTGGCTGGGTGTGGGAGGAGGAGCATGTGCATGATTGTGGACATGTGTGTCCTCCCCCAATCCCCACACTGGCTCCTGTGGTCTCAGACACTCTGGGCCCCTCTGCCCGTTGTTAACTGAGCACGTTAATGGTAGTTTTGTTTCCCCTGTGGGCTTTGTGCTAATTGCCTCTGAGAGCCCTACCTTCTGTCCTCCCCCATCCTTGCCTTACCTTGCCGGCTCTCCCTTGTCCCTGGAATATGGCTGGGGTTAGGAGAGGGACTAGGACTGCTGGGTCCTCAGGGAAGATTGGGTGGCAGAGGTGAGTAGTAAGAGGAGCAGGGCATCCTGGCAATCTGGGTTCTGTTTCATGGCTGAGCAGAGGTTAAGAGCAGAGCCAGGCTCCAGGGCCTGCCTGCTTTCCTCTCAGAGCTCAGGATGAGTGACTGCCCCTCATGGGGGTGCTTGGCAGGTGGGGGAGGGGAAGGGGCCTCAGGCCAGAAGGCTCAATTGCTTTTATTGACCCCAACTGGGTGATGAAAGGTGATCAATGATGATCGATGGAAATGACAACCTGGGGCTTGGGGCTGAGAGGGCACCCAGAGAGCAGTGGTCAGCCTGTCCTCGTGCTTCCTTTAATCTTGGCTGTCATTCTATCTCAGGCCATCTGGGTCCCCATTACTGACCATCAGGCCTTGTGTAGGGTCAGATGTCCCAGTGTACTCCCTGTACCTGGTCCCAAACCTAGTGAGGGTGGAGGCAGACAAATAGATTCTTCTGGACCACAGGCCACAATGAAGACATTGAAGAAAGATGGACAGGTCCAAACCACAGGGCCAGTAATCTATCTCAGATCTTTGTGTAGGGTGGGGTTGAGGGGTAGGGGGGGTGGCCTGGTGGGCCCACCCTGCATCCTCATGGAAGGAGGAAGGGGGTCAGTTCATGTCTCTCTCCTCCACAGGTGCCCTTTGGGGAAGTGAGTGTGGTCCGAGACTGGTTGGGCATTGGGGGGCCTGTGCTGACTCCGGCCCAAGAGCACCCTAAGCGACCGGTGCTGGGACTACAGTGCCCACAGTCAGAGGTGAGCGGTGCCCGATTTTGGGGCTTTTTCCGGAACCTCTGTGGACAGCCTGAGGTCTTCTTCCGTCACTGCTTTGTCCACAATCTTTGTCCTTTGCTCTTCCTGGCACCCAGTGGGCGAAACCTCACCCCTGCTGAACTGCCTGCTAAGCAGCGAAAACAGCTTCTGGGGATCTGTGATGCAGCCCTCTGCCGGCAGGTGCAGCTGCTGGGGGTGCGCCTTGTGGTGGGAGTGGGGCGACTGGCAGAGCAGCGAGCAAGACGGGCTCTGGCTGGCCTGACACCTGAGGTCCAGGTGGAGGGCCTCTTGCATCCCTCTCCCCGAAACCCACAGGCCAACAAGGGCTGGGAGGCGGTGGCCAAGGAAAGACTCAGTGAGTTGGGGTTGCTGCCTCTGCTGACAAAATGAAAGTCCCAGGGCCTGGCGTATGGCTCATTCAAGGGCCCCAGGTCATCCTTGCACAAGCAGATGACTGCACATCTGGACTGGACCAGTAAGGGTTCTCTGGTGCCAGCAACCACGTTCTTTGATCTGTTGATGTGTCCTCTGACCTGATCTCCCGAGGCAGTGTCTGATTGCCTGGATGAGTAGTTGACACTGCTCCTGTTTGCCCTCTTGTTTCCTGCACCTTCTTTGAGCCTTGGCCCTTTTGTGTTACAGTGTCTGACTCCACGGAGAATCAGCACAGGTGGGCTTTCTGCAGACTGCTCTACCTCTTTGTTTCCTTGCAAGCCTCTGTGCAGCTGAGAATGTCCTGGATGGACACTTCTGCGGTCACTTTTGCTGTTTCAGAGGGAAGATTTTTTTGTCTCATATTTTTATTGACCATTTTTAAGTGTACACATGAATGGTGTTCAGTGTGATTTTTTTTTTTTTCGGTACCGGGGATTGAACTCGGGACCTTGCACTTTCGAGTCAGGCGCTGGAACCACTGAGCTAAATCCCTGGCCCTTTCAGTGTGATATTTCCATACACACATACAGTGTGCACTTATCCAGCCTCCTTTTTATCCACCCAGAGGAAAGGATTCCTCCTCAGCCTTACAGAACAGCTTCTTTTAGCTGACCCTTCTAACAGGGACCAGGGCACAACCTCGGATATAAGGTTAAGGGTGATCTTCCTGTGGGAGGCTGAGGCTGGATCAGAATTCAGTGTGGGAGAAGAGAAAAGTCAGAAGACCTGGATTTTCTTCCTAGCTTGAGACTTGTGGACTTTATTGTACTTTTTGTATTTCTTTAAATTTTGTTTTTTGTTTTTCTTTTTGTGAGACTTGTGAACTCTGTAATAGACAAATTGATTAGTCTTAAGTCTCAGGATCTTCATCTGTAAAATGAGGATGCCTCTCTCATGGAGCCGGTGTGAAGATGAACAGAGTTCACACTTCAGAGAGTCTTGCAAAAGCTCAACGCATGGTGCTCACTACATACTCTTTTTGCTTTCTGTCCTCTGGGGTGGGAAGCCACTGCACTACAAAGGAAGCCCCTCTCCACTCTGAACTCTTTGCTGGGAGGAGTTTGGACCTCCACTTGTGCTCTGCGTGAGATGGACCAATAACTATGAAAAATGCAGCCTGTGATTTTTGTCTAAGCATTAAGAGCTCCTAAACTCTCTTGTGTCAGTACCTTTTTCCCCCCTCCTGAACATCATGGGTGGAACTTGGCTTCTTAGATATTTTCTGCTTGTACCTCTGCAGAGGTTCTTTTGGACATTTGGAAGAGGGATGTAACATCTAATTGCCTTATCAAAGCCACAGGGTCTCTGGTATGGGCCTGCCCAGTAGTTTATCTGACTTGGGCACCACGGGGAACAGGCAGCAGGGTAGATAGGCACCTGGATGGAAGTCACTGCACTACAAGAGAAGTCCCTTTCTGCTTGGAAGACTTGCTGGGGAAGTCTGGGCTTCCACCTGTGGCCTGGGTAAGGAACAAATTCTTGCCCTGCCAGTGATGGAACAATGACTATAAAAATCCATATTGTCTGCCTTGTTTGCTTGCTGAATGGCTGGTTGGATGGCCCTTTGGTAAGGCCTGGGAAAGAGAACCAAGTTGGGAACAGAGCAGCTCTTGAGACCATCGTAATGAGGAACACTCTGATTGTCCTGGAACATAGATCATCTCCAGCTGTCTCAAAATTAATTTAAAAAATTAATAAGATTTTTAGTAAAAACCTTCCTGACTTCATTGTAAAATAAAGAATTTGATCTGCCTTTGTCCTCAGATCCTAAGAGAGAGACCCTTAAATCCTTGGAGTTTCCCAAGCAATAGAATGTCTGTTATTCATGGTAGGTCCCTCAAACTATACCCACACCCAAATTTATGTTGAAATTTGATCTTAGACCACACTTAAATATATATTGAGATTAAGGGCTGGGATTTAGCTCAGTTGGTGCCACTGCCTACCTTGTAAGCGCAAGGTCATGAGTTCGATCCCAGGTACCAAAAAAAAAAAATTTAAATTTATATTGAGATTTGATCTCAGACCACACCCACATTTATGCTAAGATTGCTCCAAGATGGAGGCTGACCATGCCAGAAAGACCAGCCATATTCTTAAGAGGGTTGGAACTTTCTTTCTTTCTTTTTTTTTGGTACAGGGGATCGAACTCCGGTCCTTGCGCTTGTGAGGCAGGCGGCGGAACCACTGAGCTAGATCCCCGGCCCCAAGAGGGTTGGAACTTTCACCTGGGCGATAGCAACCTGATCTCTTGGGGTGGGAATGGGGCTGGACACTCAGTTCAACCACGTGGCCCCTGATTTCAATTAGTCATGGCTAAGTAATGAAACCCTAATAAGAGCTCTGGACACTGAGGTTTTGGTCAGCTTCCTGATGAACACATGAACATGCTGGGAAGGTGATGTGTCCTGATTCCAGGGCGAAGTGCATAGATCTGTGTTTGGAACCCTTTCAGACTTTGCTTTCTTTTTGTTTGACTGGTCGTGGGGTTTTTTTTGGTTTTTTTTTTTTACAGTGCTGGAGATAAAATTTGGGGGATTATGCATGCTGAACACACACTCTAGCACTAAGCCCATTCCCAGTTCCTGATTTGTATTCTCCATAATAAAACTGTAATCATAAGTATAGTCTTTTTCTGAGCTCTCTGTGTATCTAGCAAATTATTGAACCAGAAGGGTTGCAGGAATCCTTGAATTTATAGTCAGTTGATCAGAAGTGCAGTGGCCTGGGGACCCCAGAGATGCCACTGGAATCTGAAGTGAGGGCAGGTGTTTTGGGAACCATGCCCTTAAACCTGCAGTGTATACACAAATCCAGGTCATTAGCATCAGAATTGCATGCAGTATACTGTTGTACTGCTACATGCCTTAGGCTCTTTTCCTCTTTCTCCCTGTAGTGCAGAGCACTGGATTAGGCTATGTGGAATAATAGGAGAGATAGAAGCTGTTGTTCCTTATATATTTAGCTAAGGTAGCCAGAGAAAGGTGTAAGTGACATTTCAGGTGGCTTTAGGGACTGGGAAGTTTGAGAGAACCTTTTTTTTTAAAAAAAAAAAAAACAGGGTCTTGCTATGCAGTCTAGGCTGGCCTTGAACTTGCAGTGATCCTCCTGCCTCAGCCTCCCTAGTGCTGAGATTATAAGCGAGTGCTACCACACCCAGTGAGAACAACATTATTATGTTCAATGAGTGGAAAGTAATGTTGGCCTGGACCTGTTGGGAGAAAATGGAGAGGTGGGTTAAGGTCAGCTTGTGAAGGAACATGAGTGCTAGAGTAATGTTTTAAACTTGGAGCCCAGTGCAGGAAGACAGGTACATAGAACACACATTGAAAATACCCAACCAGAGATGGAAATCCCGCAGATGAAAATGGAAGAATGCACCATATTAGATTTCCATCGGTGAGAAATCACCTGAGGTAATCAATCTAAAATGGTTGGTTGGCTGGTTCATTTGTTTATGTGCGTACTGGGGATTGAACTAAGGGCCTTTGTCATGCTAGGCAAGTGCTTTACCACTTAGCTGCTTTACTGGATGGAAGGGCTGTTTTGACTTATAATTTCAGAAGTTTCAGTCCATGGTCATTTGGGCCTGTGGCATCGGTACATTGTGGCAGGAGCTTATGGCAGAGGATCCCTGTCCACCTCAGGGCAGCAGGGAAGCCAACAGAGAAGGGGCTGGAGTCCCAGTATCCCATCAAGGGCACAACTCCATTGACCTAACTCCCATTCTGTTCCACCTCTTAAAAGATTCTACCACCTCCCAGTAACACTGTAGACTGGGACCAAACCTTCAACACATGGGCCTTGGGGGGGATATTCAAGATCTAAACCATCACAAAGGAGCACACCATATAGGAGGCAGTGTTGGTGCAATGGGGAAGGAATTGGGATGAAATCAGCATATAGGGAGGACATCCTAGGGCACAGCAGGGTTGAGGTGAAAGGCTGCAGTGGGGTGAGAATCATGAGATGGTGCCGGTAGTGTTGGGTAGTGCATAGATGTACTTGGACAGTGAAGACCATAATGATGACTTAATGGCATGAGTTTGGCAGGTCACTGCCTGGTTTGGCTTCTAGTGGGGCTGTTGGCCTCAATTCCTGGCTGTGATTTGTTAGGGAGAGGCTGATTGGGTGCTGGGCCTACCTTTTCCCAAGGGTACTATATTAGTATACTGGCAACAAAAATACCACAAACTGAGTAGCTTAAACAGAAATTTATGTTGTTGTAGTTCTGGAGACTGGAAGTCTGAGATCAGGTGTCAGCAGGTTAGGTTTCTCCGGAGGCCTCTTCTTGGCTTACAGACAGCAGTGTTCACCCATGCCCTCACTTGGCCTTTTTGCCATGTGCACGTCCCTGGGCTCCTCCCTTCTTAGACGGACACATGTCACACTGGATTAGGGCCCCACTCTTACAACCTCATTTAGCCTTATCTCTTTAAAGGTACTATCCCTAAATAGACATATTAGGCCTTCAATGTGTGAATTTTGTGGGGATGTAATTTATAACAAGCACTCAAAGTCTTGTCACTGCTTTTTTTGTCCCTTAT